AGATGGAGACTGAATGAAACAAATTACTTGGAAAAGTTGTCATGAAAATATTACTCAGGTGCCATGGGACGAGCATTTCCGCTATTTTTCAAGTTCAAATGAATGTTAGTGAACATTTTATTAATTGTTTTGTAAAATTATTACATGTCTCAATGGTTGAGTAGTATGTCATGTGATGCAAAGAAACGGGAATACGTTATTCAAATGACTGTTGTCACAAAACATGCCAGATAATAAGTGTCAGTTTCTGCTTTTCAATATGATTGTCATTTTGTAAACTAAACAAATTTGTGTGTCAGAAGATTAAAAACAGGATTTCATTTTACAAAATGGCTATTTAATTTGGAAATTAGACATTAACGGCGTATCTGCCAATATGTATCAAGTCATGTATAGAGAGCATTGGCTTCCCACGTGATGGGGCTTTTTTGTTTTGCCCCCATGGCTACAGTTTGTGTTATCAGTTCTTTGTGTTCCCTACCTTTCAATAAATAGAGCTAAACAGGCATAAAACATTCTTACTTACTTATTTGTGTGTGTCTTCTCTTTTATAACGATTTATCTGTTATTATTATAACAACCTTCACTTTTTACTTGGGATTACCATTGTGATGATATCGCAATAGTTTTGACATTTATTGCGTTAATTGGGGCACGGGTGGCGCTTACGACATCGCAATTCACTATGCGAAGTTGCATACCTTTGGACATTCCAGAAACCTTTGGTCGTGGATAGGCATCCCGGTTCACCCCGATTATGTTTCTTGGTCTGTCAGCACCATAGACATGCTCGTGGGTTTCATAGTGGTAAACGTTTGAGACCTGCTTCACTTCGTGACACGCGGTGATATAACTGGAATGCTGTCAAAACGATGTTGAACCCAACTCTCTCACTAAAGCGGCTTTACTGCAAAAGTGCCACTGTTGTATTGTGACAGTACAAAGGTACGTGGGGCGGTCGGGTAGCCTAGTGGTTAAAGCGTTCGTTCATCACGGGGTTCGATTCCCGACATGGGTACATTGTGTGAAGCCCATTTCTGGTGTCCCCCGCCGTGATATTGCTGGAATATTGCCAAAAGCGGCGTAAAACCATACTCACTCACAAATGTACGTTTACCTTCCGATGTTTCCAATTCCCTGTGTTGGTTCAGCAAGATGTCAAGGCATGAGACAATAGACATTCCTTGTTTCCTTGAAATTGACCTGCCCTTCCCATTTCGCAAATAACAAGATACGGCCCCCAATGACACGGAAAATACCTTCTAGTTATTGATGTACAAATGTATGGTGTGGACTCTCCACCCAACAGGGGCACAGGTGGCCCAGTCGTCTAAGGCGCCGCGATTCGCTGTGCAGAGTTGCGTCCCTTGGGCACTCCAGAAACCTATGATTGTGGGTTCGAATCCCGGTTCGCCCCGATTATGTTTTTAGGTTTGTCTGCACCATACCCGTACTCGTGGGTTTCACCTAAGTGGTAAACGTCTGAGACCTGCATCACTTGGGGCTTTCCTCCCACATTAAGCTGACACGCCGCGATATAACTGGAATACTGTTAAAAGCGGCGTTAAACCCAACTCACTCACTTACTCCACCCAACAGAAGGTTACAACAGAGACCATCTTATGTGGTCCCTGGTTACAATAAATAATTTTGCATTGCAGGTGGTTGAGAGAAGCGTTTTTGACATTTTGTAACGTGGCGACCGGTATGACGTGCACAAGAAGCTTGCATGACACAAGTGGATCATAGTTTGCCCAGAACAATCAAGAGTAAAATAGAAAATAACTGCATGAGTCGATATTTGGCGATATGTCTGATGTAAAGGTCAGTAAAAATCCCATATTGGAATAAAAAATACCCGATCCAGGTTAAGATAGTTATAACCAATGTTATTGCTTTTTAGAGTTATATCCCTTAGCTATACCAGGATGAGCTAGTTGTGCGTTCGACGCCAAGATTCATCCAGATTATGCCTTTCCTCCAACATCCCTAACACTTGTGATATGACTGAAATATATTTTCTTTTGTTTCCAGTACATTTCGTTTTCAATCACAATGGTGATGATATGTATTGGACGTTTCAGAACTGGTCAATTTTACATAGATCGTAGTTAACAAGAAATGGAATATAGAGAAGTTGGTGCATTTTCTCATTTGTTTGGCTAGTAACTCTTGTTTATAATGACACGCCGTGATATGACCTGAATACTGAAAAAAGCCGCGTTAAACTCGACTTACTCTTGTTTCTAATATTTAACAGGGGTCGATGCACTGACCCTCACTCATTCATCTTCCGTATTAATGACTAATTGATGACATTATTCAAAAGGATTACATTGTGCAAACTATACTGCACTTCAGATAAGAATACCGAGATCAGACCTAATGTAACCCTTCTCAGAGACGATAATTTATATATCGAAATGTGAACCTGTGTTGACATGAAGCTTAAAAATTTCATTTTCATGAAAATGTTGAACACAACTATGTCTATGACATCAGTCCGTATCATTCAGTCCCGAATCAAATGTTGAGAGGTATATGAGAGGCATTGCAGGATTCAGTTTGCAGCATTGAATGACTTTCTGTTTCTTTATATTTTCTGAAAAACCTTTTGCCTATAGTATTGCTGCCTTCCACGTCAAAGGTCAAAACGAAAGAAGCACTTTGATTACTATTGAACAACCATTATTTAATTCTTTACAAAATGTATCACACCAGGTGGTGATATTTAGTTAATAGTGAACCTGGCACTATAGTATATGAAAGAATCTGATGGTCCTTAACTTCTTTTGGGTAGTATACCTGATAAGATTGCAAATTGAAAGAGTTGGCTAGATTTAGAAATGGCCGTTTGTTGAATTCCACTTCGTCACGGGATTGAAGTACACGTTGCAGCCATTTCAGTTTCTGGAAGACTTTGGTTGTTATAAACACAACTGATGATCACGTATTCATTTCTCAAACAAAAGCCATAAATGATATGACCTTTATAATTAGGAAATGGCAGTGTGTTGTCTGAATGAGTGTTGATGGGGCATGTTCAATGAGAAATGATTTTGACTTGAACTTGAACGCTCTCATAATATGTGAATATATCTGCACTTCGGTCACCTTATTTGTTGATCTGAGTTGACTGACCGGTTCCTGGTTATTTTATGTGCCAAAGAAAAATCAAAAGATGAGGTTGAATCTACTTTTGGCTTATTAAGCTACAGATTCCTGCAAGATGCACATCATCTACAAGTTGGATCACTTAGAAACATACTGGGCGGTCGGGTAGCCAAGTGGTTAAAGCATTCGCTCGTCACGCCGGCGACCCGGGTTCGATTCCCCACATGGGTATAATTTGTGAAGCCCATTTCTGGTGTCCCAAGTCGTGATATTGCTTGAATATTGCTAAAAGCGGCGAAAAACCATACTCACTAGAAGCATACTTTTGTCAGGCGAGCTACAGTGCTTGCGTCTTACCAGACATCTGAATAATGCATGTAGTTGCAAAATTGTTCTTAATCGTAATGTTCTGTTCTTAAAGAACTGGTCAATATTAACTGCAATCATGATAGTCATTACAAAAGTATATTTTGTCCCTGTGTGTTTGTAATGCTAACGGAAGTGCTGTATTTAATTTGTTACAACATACCGTTTTTGTGCACATTGAGTAATTGTCCAATAAACATGATCCTAAGAAAATGTTCTGTCATTACTTCATTTTTAGAAGCTTGTTGATAAACAGTACAACTCGCCCTCTTCGTCCCATGCTTTTGGTCAACTGGCTCTGTACGTGCTTTTGGGAAGGGTGTAACTTTTGTCTTGAACTGGCATTATTCGTGTGGCATCTTACGTTTACTCAGGACTGAGTGGCTAGTACATAAAACGTCTGCCCGGAGAGCGGGGCTTCGATCCACACCCGGAGTTTAAGGATGATACTTCTTGTTTAACTGCCTGGCGCTCGGCATTAAAGGATTAAAACAAGGACTGGTCGACTCGGAGACAGTATACTGTGTCTGAGTGGGGTATCCATGTTAAACTGCGGCATGATATTTCAGTGTTTGCACCGACTGCTGAAGGTGTTTTGGTCTGTCCCAATATCAAAGAAAGCCGTTGAACGCTTATTTGCCTCTGCGTTATCCTGACTGTAAATTTTCAACCCTGATTTTAAGATTAAACGTAATGCTGTCTTCCTTGTTAACGATGCGATCGTAAAATATACAACTGTTTCTGTCAACGGTGCGATCGTAAAATATACAACTGTTTCTGTTCAGTCCTTGTTTTATCCCCTTAATTCCGAGATAATAGGTATTCAGCAACCCATGCTTGCCGTGACAGGCGACTATGCTTGTCGTAAGAAGTGACTAATGGGATCGGGTGGTCAGGCTCGCTGACTTGGTTGCTACATGATTTCGTATCCCAATTGCGTAGATCGATGCTCATGTCAATCACTGGATTGTCTGGTCCAGACTCGATTATTTACAGACCGCCGTAATATAGCTGGCATATTGCTGTGTGCGGCGTTAAAGAACAAACAAATCATCAGTGAATGCTTTCTGCCTCTTCCGGGGGGACTCCGCCCTGGTTAGGATCCTAGCAGCATGTCCATGGGTTTAGTGAAAGTTATCAACTTCTTCGACCTGCGCCACTTTCGGTTTTCCTTTTACAAGCTGTCACGTCGTGATAAAACTGATCCTGTTCAAAGCAGAGTCGATTATCCGATTCCGACTAGATCTTGATCATGTGTGTATGAATCACTATCAAATAGTGATGATACTAGGAGTTCGAGAAACGATAAGCGTATCCTGCCCCACCGGTGCACCCGCTACAAACACATGCAAAGGCAAATTAATTGTTCACACGAAAAAACACACGGGAATATACGGTACAAGTGAAATTAGGGAATTGCTTTTTGAATGTCTGATCATGTTCATCTTGACTAATATGAAAACAAGGCATGTCGAACTACTACCCCTTGTGTAGAAATAGAGAAAAGCTGAACATACATCCGTGGAAAAAAACCATTTATTAATTATTATCTGTCATATATGTAGTTACAATACTGACAAATTAAAACAAACATAAAAAAGCTCACTCGACATTGACATATGTATTGAGAATGTGTAGAATCAAAACAAATGAAATGTAAAATGAAATAGAACACTAACATCCATGAAGACTTTCCCTTGGTATGTATCTACCGCAGCTCTACATCACGGCTGTACACATAATATGAAAAGCTTCGTCGCAAGTATTACAATTCCATTTGAAAATGTACCAGCTGCTTTCCTAATAAAACGAATTGTCACCATCACTTGGAACCACGTTATTTCAACATTTTAAGTGTTCACATATCTTGTTAATGTCTTGAAGTTACCTGGCCACATCTCTAAGATGTGTTTTTTATTCATAGAAAATAAAGGCAACTGATGATATGGTTACATCCAGACACAAACTTTACATTAAGATCAGAAGCGCAATTGGCCGGAGTAGCGTCTTTATAACAACAGTCTTAATGCTGACGTTGATTTTACAATTGATAAATATGAAATTAGCTTCTCCGCCCTTTTTCCGATACATTTGGCAGTGATATGCAAATTGGACAAGACACTTGACACAAAATATAACGCTGGTATGATGTTTAGGTGAAACTTTGGCGTTGTCGGAACAGTCATATAGAGCCGATAATGTGTTTATTTTCAGAATAGGTATTATACCTAATTTAATTTCTAAATAGAATATGCCCTTTTGATAAGAATAGTGACAGTCAGCCCTTCATAAAGCGTATGTAATTCAGGCAACAGTCAATTTGTGTTTCTGTCAACACAATTAAAACAGGAAGTAGTGTCCCACACATTTAGCTTTTCCGTCTTTCCGAAGAAATGTTACTTTAAGTAGACGTTTTAGTGGACTCGTTCATATATAAAAAGCGTGGCAATTGACCCGTAAACTGGCTGTGCTTATTAGACTTCTTCAAGATGGATCTGGAAAGAACAAAAGGACACAAAACGCGGAGACAAAATAATGTCTTATTACTTTACATTGTGGTGAAAGCTCTGAACTTATTTTCCTCAGGCGAATGAAAACACGAGACAGACCTTTGACACCGAACACAATTGCACAAAGAATTGGTACTATAGCTGGTAAAGTTCGTTTGGTCAGATGATGTGTTCAACCAATCTTCTTGTACTTCCGGGTACACGTCACTCCATTTCCGGTCATAGTCTGAAAGGGAACAAACACATATTGACCAAGGTGTCCATGACCAAGGTGTCCATGATCAAGGTGCCCATACATTTCAGAAACGGCTAGAATACGTTTTAGTTTTAGGAACTAAATTGGTCACGCACATACCATGTTTGTGACAACATTTGACTTAAATAATTGCACTTAAATCCATCATCCCAGTTGTCCTTGACCGTGCTGTAACTGAATAATTAAACACCATTGGCAAAGACGGAACTTGTTTATCGTACTCTTAAAAAATCGAGTTTGTAAATACACGACTCTAGACACATTGATTTAGCTTGAGACAAATGGCATCACGACATTTTAATGACATTGTCATTTTGTATACGCCATTTGTTTTATTTCATGGCCAAATTTGAAAAAGATTCTATTGGATAGTTTCCTGATAAACCAATCAACTTAATCGTCAATTTCGACCAGAATGGGTTATTAGGGACCAGTTCTGAGTGAATGAGTTAAAAAGAAATGACAGCATTATTTCAGCAATATAGCGCCGACCTGTTCTGACCCCCAGGTTTGACAATATACGTTCCTTTCGAAATGCTAAGTATTAACTTACCATGACCAGCTCGTCTCCGGCTACTGTCCTCACGTTCTTGGTCTCAAACCCATCACCCTTCTGTACCTCCACCAAGGTGCCGCCTTCCTCCGTGACAACAACCTGAAACAGCAATCAAATCATCTAGTCATCCGTGACCTCAACCTGAAACAATAGTCATATCATCTAGTCATCCGTGACCTCAACCTGAAACAGCAATCAAATAATCTAGTCATCCGTGACCTCAACCTGAAACAATAGTCATATCATCTAGTCATCCGTGACAACAACCTGAAACAGCAATCAAATCATCTAGTCATCCCTGACAACAACCTGAAACAGCAATCAAATCATCTAGTCATCCGTGACCTCAACCTGAAACAGCAATCAAATCATCTAGTCATCCGTGACCTCAACCTAAAACCATAGTCATGCATTCTAGTCATCCGTGACAACAACCTCAAATATCAATTAAATCATCTAGTCATCCGTGGCAACAGCTGAAACAGCAGACAAATCATCTTGTCATCCGCGACAACAACCTGAAACAGCTATCAAATCATCTAGCAATCTTTGACCTCAGCCACAAACATCAACCTTAGCTTCAAGTCCTCCGTGACAACAACCTGAAACAGCAATCAAATCATCTAGTCATCCGTGACCTCAACCTGAAACAATAGTCATATCATCTAGTCATCCGTGACATCAACCTCAATCATCAACCTAATCTTCCAGTCCTCCTTTACAACAACCTGAAACAGGAAATAATCTTCCAGTCATTCGTAACAACAACGTCAGAAATCAGTCAGATGCATTTCTACATGGCATACCCTAGGGGATATGAACTCATTATCTAGGAAGGGGTTACACTATTCTGAAAATGTGAAAGGCAAGTTGACCTTTCACTTTCCTACATTTAAAAATACAATTTCCCTGTATCTTATAATCCAACAGTTCCATTAATGTCTACGAAATGATACGATGTAATATTTACCTTTTCATTTAAAGAATGCACAGAATACTGGGTCGCGGTCAAGTAGCAGCGATGAACTGACTTGTGCCACCTGTAAATAATGCGGCTCACGGTCGTCGTACAATGATAAGTTTTTGTCCAGACTGTCCACTTATGTCGACCTTAATATTTGTCGCTCGCTGATCTACATGTACCCGTTCCACTGACGACAGAACTAGATGTCCCATGGGATATATCTATAGCCGAATACACCAAGTGATTCGAAATGATTCTGTCCATTAGCCTCGGTAAATTAAGGAGAGTTGTGTAGATAATTAATCTGCGTCTCGGCTGATGCCCCACATCACTCTGACACAGTGACATTTATTCGTTGTGCCGCCACCTTGATACATCTTCCCATCAGTCTGAATACCAATATCCAACACGGAAATTCATCTCACAGGACTTGTACGAACACTTCCTCAATGACTGACGCTACTCTGACACAACACAAAAATCAACCCAAACTCCATATACTCTAACCAAATAGGTCTTATAAACACAGAAAAAGATTGTATACGTTTTGTAAATCATCACATGTTTATGATGTCTTTTCAACCCTACCACGCGAAACCATTGAAATTGGCATTGCTCCAGTCTTAATGTTTTCAAACACGGTCTTGGAATTATTTTCGATTGGCACGAATGAAACGTCTTTGCCTAACCATGTGGTAATGGTGGTAGAACATTACCTTTGCCTGTCCACAAGAGAGGCATCGTCAATTACCAAGTGTGTTATAATATAAATACCCTGAACCCATTCGCTTCATGTCAGTCGTCTCTCGTGTTATTAACTAAGAACAAAATGTCTTCTGCACCAGTGTGTAATTTGATTCGACAGCTTGCTAGTTTTAGCAACTTGTCGTGTCTTTCGAATCGGACCTCTAACGAAACTATGGTGGCACAGGGTATTAAAGATAATGGAGCGAAGATAATACACACTCGATAATGGAGGATGTCAGAAAAGGGCAAAGACAAATCTAATCAGTAATGACGAAAAGGGTTGTGTGGATGTGTGTCTCATGTGTTTTACTTCTATACATACCTTCACTGGCCTGCCATCAAGAGTGGCTGTTGAAAATTCTTCACCCAGATTAAACGTGATCTCCTTCTCTCCGGCGCTGGTGATGGTCTTGAGGGTCCAGGAGGTGCCACTGTTGGAGAGATCCTGCACCAGCTTCGACCCTGCCGACAGAGCACTCTTAGCCTTTTCGATGTTCTCGGGGGTCACACCTGAAATGAGTGAGTGAGTGAGTGTATTAGCACTGATGTAATGATCTTAATTGAATGAGTGAGTTGGGTTTAACGCCGCTTTTAACAGTATTCCAGTTATATCACGGCGTGTCAGCTTAATGTGGGAGGAAAGCCCGAGGTGATGCAGGTCTTAAGCGTTTACCACTTCTGTGAAACTGACAAACCTAGAAACATAAATTGGGGCGAACCGGGATTCGAACCCACAATCATAGGTTTCTGGCGTGTCCAAGGGACGCAACTCTGCACAGCGAATCGCGGCGCCCTAGACGACTGGGCCACTCGTGCCCCCTGTAATGATCTTAAACCTTACGCTAATTATATACTTCTTAGTGACTGAGTGTAGTATATAACAGTCTGACGTACTTTGTCTTAGAAGGGAACTATCATTTCGGTTTATAGGCATGCTACAAATAAATTAATTTTAATGAGCCATTCAATCATATTCTTTCACTCCCATCTGACTCATACATATGCGCCCATTCTAACCTTAATGCGCACAACACGTGATATTGCGCCCATTCTAACCTTAATGCGCACAGCACGCGATATTGTGCGTCTGGTAAATCCCAGTACATAAATAATGTATTTGTGTACCTCAACAACGAGAAGCAGAGCCTAATTATTTCATGAGAAATACGACACAGCATCACAGAACATGTTAAAAAAGCTTCAATGCAAACATACAAACCTGATGTTTATACACTGATATATCTTAAATGTCTTAATAAATTAAACAGATGCTAATATAATCATCTATTATGATGATTGCGTAAATTGTGTGGATCGATGCTCATGATATTAATCACTGGATTGTCTGGTCCAGAGTCGATTATTTACAGACTGCTGTCATTTAGCTGGAATATTGCTGAGTGCGGCGTTAAACAACAAACCAGCCAAACATACTTCAACTCAATACGCCATATCATATCTCACTGTCCTTATTACTTATATACAACTCTACTTTTGGGGGTGGTCGGGTAGCCTAGTGGTTAAAGCGTTCGCTCGACACGCCGAAGACCCGGGTTCGAATCCTGACATAGGTACAATGTGTGAAGCCCATTTCTGGTGTCCCCCGCCGTGATATTGCTGGAATATTGCTAAAAGCGCGTAAAACAATACTCACTCACTCATTTGATTGGGATATTTTTCATATTAAAAATGTTATCCATGATACACAAACATGATTTTTCACGATATTTCAAGTGCACATTTAGACAGAAGGACATATCTGATTACGCCTCACAAAAGACGAGTAGAGGTGAGGTGAAATTGGGTTTAACGTCGCGTCCAAGATTATTGCACTTATATAGCGACGTGCATGCACGTGTATGTGTGTGTGTGGCTGCTTGTACTAGTCCGGACTGATGCCGATTTATAGTGCTAGCTCACTGAGATACCATGCCGCAGTTTAACATGAATACCTCACTCAGACACAGTATACTGACTCCGAGCCGACCAGTCCTTGTTTTAGCCCCTTAATGCCGAGCGCCAGACAGGGTAACAACAAGTACAATCTTTTAACGTCTTTTTGTATGACGCGGCCCGGGATCGAACCCTGGACCTTCCGCTCTCCGGGCGGACGCTCTACCACTAGACCACGGAGGCGGTCAAAGGCGAGTAGAATATAACTTTCAGTTCGGTAGCCCCGCAATGCCACGGATGTTTACACTGAAGTAAAGAGGTAGACACGAGCGGGACGGGATCACCAAGGCTGTGTTTAACACATTAAGTATTATCATGCACAGCATACGACGTATTTACGTTACGTATTCAGTTCTCCCACTGATGGTGTAAATGGGTTTAGCGCTTGATGTACATGTATCAGCCGAGCGATGCCCGGTCACAAACACACAGAACAAAGTCACCCCACCCGTCCTGGCGTCTGTGTCAGAATTTAACATGCAACTTGTCTGGCAATAGGAATCTGAGTTATATGGGATTTCTTCATTATATCCAGTCAAAATAGCTCTGGCATTAAAAATCAATCCAACGCTTGTCTGATGTATTCCATATGTACCCACCCTTGTCTAAACATTCTTCCACGGAGAATGCCATAGAATGACGTTATTCTGCCGTACTCACAGCACGAATTTGCAGACTTGTGTAGAGCGATTGTATATTTATGCATAGGCATACAACCCTATAGAATGCCATGTTTTAATTTTATTTATTTAAATTATGTTATTTGATAAACCTAGACAAAATTGTCATTCGTTATTTAGGTAATAAGAACTAAGTATGTATTTATTGGTTGTTGAAGTTGCTAGTCAACGCCCTTAAACTAAACAGACACGGTGATAGAAAATAAGGCCACAGGATTATTAAACTGTTTCGGTTGAAACGACCTTGTTTCATTAAATAATGAGGATAAATATAATAAATTTACCTTTCACAAAATGAATGTCAGTAAGTAGATATTATATTGGACTGAGTGAGTATTGTTTTACCAAACTGTCATATATTCCGGTTCTATAACGACAGCGAGTAAACAATTGAGTCTGGATCCGGCAGACTGATGGTTGACAGCATGAGCAATGACCCAGGTCACCATAACACACAATCGGCCAGGTCACACAGTGTAACCTTTAGAATTGTATGTTTGTTGTTTAACGCGGCACCAAGCAATAATCAAACTATATGTCGGCGGTCTGTAAATAAACGAGTCTGGACCAGACAATCCAGTGATTGACATCATGAGCATCGATCAACGCAATTAGGATACGATTACATGCATCAACCAAGTCAGCAAACCTGACCACCCGATCTTTGTGGCCTCTTACGGCAAGCACGGGTTGCTGAAGACCTATTCTGGGTCGTAACCATAGGTGGAACATGTGACACACATTCAGTACTGAGGACGTATTCTACTTATGGGGTTATAATTAAAGTATTAAGAAAGGCAGAGACCCTTTAGGTAGTCATTTACAGATCACATTCCCCTCAATACATGACTAGAACATTGAAAACAATTGCAAATGAAAGCGATGGCGATTCGGACAAACAAATAAGTATTTTTTCGTATTATACATGCAAAAACATGGGCGTCATGGACAAGCGTATCTTTCATCAGTAGATAGTGCCAACGTGTCTGTATGTTGGGTTGTTTTGTTAAAGGTCTAAATACAAATGCTTGAGGTGTTATCTAGACAGAATGTTTTTGCCGACTGATCGATGTTAGAATATTGTTTTTGTATTCTCATTCGAGAACTGAGGTTTTATGTTTTTCAACCCTACTTCAAGTGCGAAGGCTTGAAGCTTTGAATTTTGTTTACAAAATATGATATCGCATCAGACAGAAAGCCTAACGGTTCTTTCCTTGTTATAAACAGAATGATATCTCAACGGAGTGGGTGTATTGCTCTTCAAAAGAGCTGGAATCTGTCTGTATCATTGCATGAAAAAACAGACACATGCATCCCGGAATTGAAGGGAAATTAAGCAATCTGAACGTGGAACAGTTCTTTGAAGTTTAGAAGACTCGGAAATTGGGACATCAGCGTACATTAGGGTAAAGCCTCGCGATGCTAGGCAGTGACGAGGGGTGAAACTAGCTACAACAGAATACAGGCAGGTCAACAGAGAGAAACCTCGCACACTCGTAGTCTTTTCTGTTTGCAGCCTTCAGGATATGCCGTGCATCTTGTAGAATCTGCGGTGTACTCTTGAAAACATGGGTCAAAATTATCTCTATCTTTTAATAAGTAAATAAATATATTTCTGAAAAAAACATGTTACTGAAACTTACATTCAAATATGTTTATATACGATGTATGAATTTATTCTAGTGACTGCGTTTCTCTGAATCTCCTGGACACTTGTAGCCACATCTGGATGTACATACTGACATCATACATTCTACATCCCGATCCCAGGGTAATTTCCTTAATGGTAGACGTGCCGAATGTAAATAGTCAGATGAACTCCTATCAGGGTGTTTACATAAGCACTTTTCTCCACTCACGGCGGCTACTATCGGTAGACCAGGGCATGTAAGGTACATTGATTTGTGGGTGAAGGTTTCAATGAAGAACGTTTCTTTCTTGTTAGAAGGGGCACAGCTTGCCCAGTCGTCTAAGACCACCACCCCCTCCCCAAATTTGCTGTGCAGAGCTGCTCTTGGGCACGCCAGAAACTAATGGTCGTGGGTTCGAATCAGGTTTGTCAGCACCATACCCGTGCTCGTAGGTTTCACCGAGGTGGTAAACGTCTGATACCTGCATCACTTCAGGCTTCCTCCCACATCAAGCTGCCCCGCCGTGATATAACAGGAATGGTGTTAATATTGTTCAGCGGCGTTAAAGTCACCCACTCACTCACTGACATATCCTTAATTTACCGTACATGTTTATATGAGAAACATACCTTCAAATAAGGGAGGACATATCGAAACCCACAGTGAATGTTAATGTCAAACACTGTTGTAATTAATCAACTGGGATTATTCCACAGCAAAGTCTCCCGTGATAAGCTGATCAGTGGTGCTTCACAATGTTGTGAGTGAGTTCTCAATCGATACAATTCATTTCCCCCACGAACCACATCATACTAAGTGGTCATAACTTCTGATGACAATCCGGGGTTATTAGATTATTGTCTAATTTACAAAATCTCATTCTAGGTCAAAAGTAGGATTTCAGTACAAATCAAATCTTTAATATGATGTGAGTGAGTCACTATGGTTTTACGCCGCATTTAGCAGCAGTCCAGAAATATAACGACGAGTGACACCAGAAATGGGCTTCACAGTTTTCTCATGAGCGGAATTATCGAACCCAAGTCTTTGGCGTGACGAGCAAACACTTTAACCAATAGGCTACACCACGGCGCGTAATGTGATACGTAAATCACTCACAGCCAAATGTCTAAAAATGATGTTATTCAGTATACAGAAGCAATGCTTACATTATCAGTTTTCGCGAACACCTGTTATGATCACTATTAGAGAGTGATTCATAAAGACGTGCTTATGAAATAGTCGG